GAACTTTGGGTCAGAAATACTTGAATTTTGTCCTTTCATAACTGAATGACCCTTGGAGAGTTATTTAATTTCTCTAGAACTCAGTTTTTCTTCTTTATATAATACATATGTGAGGATAAAAGTACATACCTCACAAGGTTGGGTTCTAGTTAGGATAAGATTTAGCTGTGAGTGATAGAAAACCTAGGACATAAGTCACTTTAATAAGGATACTTTTTTTTTTCTTATAAAAGTGTGGGTAGGTGGTTCAGGGCTGAGAAGATGGATCTGTGCTTCCCATCCACAACCTGTAGTCTACTTCATGGACAATGAGGGTTGCTCAAGCACTAGCCATTAAATTTTCTTTCCAGCCAACAGGAAGGAGAAAAGAGGAGAGGGAGGAAGATCCATCTCTTTTCCTCAACTATTTCCATTTACAAGTCATTGGCTATAAATTAAATCTCATGAATGCAATCAGCAGTAATGGAGTTTGAGGAATTGGGAAGTGTGTTTTATTTCAGGTAGTCTCATGCTTAGCTAAATATTGGGGGTTCTTCATGGTCAAAGAGGGGAAAAATAGGCATTATCTTGGGGAGTGAGCTAGCAATCTCAGCTACAGATCCTTATGAGATTTAGCCGAGATAAGGCAACTAGAGAGCTGACCACAGTGTTGGTCACTCAATAATCATTGTCATCATCATCGTTATCATCACCATGAGAAGGTGGAGGACACTTTGAAACTATGCCAGGATGTTTTCTTATTTTAATTGCATCTTGCTGATGAAGTCATTCATTTATCTCTTCTCTTCTCTCCCCTCCTCCTCCTCCTGCTTAACCATTGAGGCACATTCCTAGCCCCCCCCTTTTTTAAGAGAGAGAGAGAGAGAGAATTTTTGTTTAATATTTATTTTTTAGTTTTCTGCGGACACAATATCTTTATTGGTATGTGGTGCTGAGGATCGAACCCAGGCCGCACGCATGCCAGGCGAGCGTGCTACCGCTTGAGCCACACCCCTAGCTCCTATCCCCAGCCCTTTTTATGTTTTATTATGAGACAGAGTCTCACTGAATTTGTGAGGGCTCTCTAAGTTCCTAGTCTATTTTCCTTTTTAAGACACTTTGAGTTCCATCTTTTTATGATACCTTCAAATATCTTCATGAAATAAAACTACATAAAAGGGAAAAATGAGCATAGGATTCAGGATAATGGTTATCTTGAGTAACATATGCAAGGATGGCTTGAAGGTAGAGGAATCATCTCCTTCAGTGTATGTTATTGTCAAATTCCTGGTTCTTATTTTGAGTAGTGGTTCACAGATGCCTACTGCATTATTGAAACTAACTAAATAGACCAATGATCCAATGACCAAGTTATATCATGAACTGAAGATTATAATTAATCCAATTCTATATCCCTGAGTTTCTTAAATTGCCTTTGTGTGTGCTGTCTTGCAGGGATTGTGTGTTTGTGTGTCAACAGTAGACAGAAATAGAAATCTATTTGTATAGATTTCAACTGTTTTTGTGTGCAAGGTGCTGGAGATTGAATCTAGCACCTCACATGTGCTAAGCATGTGCTGCACTACTGAGCTACATCTCCATTCCAACTTCCAACTTTTTTTTTTTTTTTTGTAGTGCACCCAAGGATGCTTTGCCACTGAGCTACATCTCCAGCCTTTTAAATTTTTTTTTTTTTTATTTTGAGAAAGTCTCACTAAATTGAGTCTGGCCTTGAACTTGTGATCTCCTGCCTCAGCCTCTTGAATTGCTGAGATTACAGGCAAGTGCTATTGAACCTAGACTTCCAATTTTGGAAGTTTTTTAAGTAGTTCATAACAGATGGCCCAAAGATGCAGAAGCCTGATGACCTAGGAATAATTGGACAACCAAAACCCAGCTGGGGATTCCTCCTAGAGTTATCAAGGGCTAAATGGGCCACAGAAGACTCCCAGGATACATAATGCAGTGTGTGGAGACTGTACACACAATAAATACTCAGAAAACACATGTACATGAATGCAACACAGAAGTACAATGTGCCCTGGCATATAACAGTACAAATGCCTACTGGATGATAACTGAGGGGATGAACTGCAGGAGGAAGCCCTCAGCAAGAGATCCTGAGTGGTAAGTTCTCTTCTGATACTGGTTAGATATGTGAAGGCCCCTTGCACCCCAGTTTGTTCTTTCTCATCTGTACAATAGTGATAATAACATCTGCCATGCCTACCTCACAGCGCTATTGTAATGATAAATGAAATACTTTTCTATAGGCCAGAAGAAGTGCAAAGCATCTCCCCAGAACTCCATATAGGTAGAATGGTGGTTTTGATGTCAGGGACAGGTCCCTAGGCATCAGACACAGAGTAGAGGAGCAAGTCAATCATGCCTGAGCAATGGTGATATTTAATATAGCATGATAACTGATAGCTATGCTTTATGAAAAGTTCTCATAAATACTCTCACTTAATTCTCACTCATCCCTGAAAGTAGATTCCAGCCCCCAACCCCACCCCACCCCTCCGGATACAGAGAGGTTAAGTGGCTTCTCAAAGATAACATGTCTGGAGACCCTTCTGCTTATTCGACCCTAGATTCTGTGGTTTTCCCAGTGTACCTTGCCGCCTCTGAAAGGGCAAATGAACTTATTTTCTTTCCAGCCTTGCGGAAAGGAGTTGGTTCAAGTACCAGGAAGGCCCCAGTGAATTTCTGCAAAGGACCAACTCAGAGCCCTGGGCAGACCACACCAGGGACCCTCTTTCACCTGAGGAAAAGTCTGAGCAGTTGAAGCCTTTCTCTTCCTTATCCCTATATTCCTTCCTCAGGCCCGGGACATCTTTGTGTGTGCTTCCTGGATGGGACAGCAATCTGCAGAACTGGCAAGGCCACAGCGTTTTCCATTCCCTGTAGCCTTAGTTAGAGTCTTTGAAGAGTCGGGGGAATCCCAGGGCCCTGGACCCCTACCTATCCTGCAGCCTAGGAGGAAGCTCTGGGCAGCTGCAGACAGAATTGAATCCCTCTGCCTTCCCCTCCCAGGTCTGCCGGCATCTGTCTCCTTTGCCACCAGATTAATACTGTTCATAACCTCAGGGGTAAGCATAGCACCTTGTATGCAGTAGGCACTAAATAAGTGCTGCTTGACAAGAGCAGCTATTTATATTAGTGAAATCATTTTCCTCTTTGGTCCATGGGTGAGCCCTGCTGTCCTGGAAGGGACAGAGCTGGGAGGGTGACTCTGACACTTCACTCCATCCTTCATTCTTGAGTCCCGAGGAGGAAGGAGACATTTGTGCCTGTGCCTTACCCACCAGGACTGTGTCCCCATGGGCTCTTTTTAAAGGATGCTCTCTTCTCTCCAGAGTTTTGTTGGTATATATTAGGGGCCATGTGTGGCTATAGGTCAAGCCTCATTCTCTAATTTGGCAGGATTATAATTAAGTTGAGGTTTTGTCCTCACTTGTTTTATTCCCGTTGTCTCATTTCTCAACTGCTTTACTGGTAAAAGCAGGGAGGCCAGCAGGAATGTATTTAATGATCATCCCCAAACCCCATCACAATGTGTGTAGAGACCCTCTGGCAGTTTAAAGTCTGGGCCTCCCCAGTCCCCTTCCTGAACTAGACTATGCTATGGGGTTCAGCTAGATCTTTGGTATCTTCCTCAGAGACCTGGGGTTGGTTAACCCAGTTTAGAAGTAGGCAAAGTTCTTTAACAGTACCTACTTCTCCTTATAGCTATAGGCTCAGGGACTAATTTTTCCACATTGGAAATCAGAACCATTTCCCAGAGCTTCCCCTTTGCTACATTATCCCATCGGATTCTGTCCAGAAGTCTATGAAAAGATACAGCTGTTCTTCCCATAGAGAGAAGTGCCAGAGGTGTTTAGGATCACACAGCAGAACAACAGGGAAGGCTGTGTGGGGGGGGGATAGAATTCAGGCCGCCTCTAGCTTCACCCATCCTCTTCTCATCCTGTGTTCCTTTCAGTTTATTTACATAAATATGTTCCAAGGCACAACTACTACATTGTTCCTGGTTACAGGGTAATAAATCTTTACTGAAAACAGTAATGAGAAAAGAGATGTAAAACTTAGAGGAAAATGTTCCAGTTAGGAAAACAACTGAATGTTTGCCTGACACTTGTTCCTGGAATGAATGGCCTCCGTAACTCCATCTCACCCTTGAGGTCTTATCTAGCAGCATTCTTACCAGTCATCCCTCTCTTTCAAACTACAGCCCCTCTCCCTATTCTTGCTGCTGTCTAAAAGGTCCAGACAACTGGAAAACAGTAGATTTTCCATCGGAATGAGTTATTTTCATAGGACTCCCTTTCCTTGACGTGTCTTCTGTTAAAATCTAGGATTTCTTCGTTCCCTCTCACGTCTCTGAACCTCCAGCCTCCAGCCCCTAGCCCCTACCCCCACAGCCCAGCAGGGTTCCCTCCTCTCCCGGAGCCTCGTATCCTCCCCTTTAAGGCGCGCCCCTCCCCCACACCAACGCCTCCCC